GTGACAAAATAATATATATTATAAAAAAACACAAACAAAAGTAATAAAAGGAGAGTTTCCACTTCATCACAATATTAAAATGGTACATCAGTGCACCTCAGTAGCTGTATTCATATTGGTAATAAATGGTTTATTGTCCAAGCTGCTGCCATTCTTATTTGCTTATCGAGTGAGGTCGACTGTCAAAAAAGCAAAACGCCTCTGTAGTCCGACAGTAGCTCAAGAGAGGAGGGGACCCGGCAGCATACCTTATCCCGCCGGGTGACGTCCCCTCCTCTTGCTGCTGGCGTCCATCACCAAGATGGCCACCGGCAGGTAACAGCGGTACTGCGCGATGACGTCACTGAGGGGTGTCACCCGGTACCCGCACCGGGTGTCACCCCGCCCCGGGACGCCTCTGCACAGCACCCCTATAAATTTGCCACCTGGGGCACCCCCCCCCCGCTACACCCCTGGCTGACACTGTCCTTCCTTCTGGAGGGGGGCTACTTTTGTTCCCCATGGTCCCTGTGTGTGCTGTAAAGTAGTCACTGCTCCAAGCTCGCTCCCCGTGATGGACTTCAATCTCCTGTTTAGTTTACTGATTTACAGTATATTGACATTGTTACCATGGGGAACAAAAGTGATACAGAAATTAGATACATTTTTGTTAATAGTGCTTCAATGCATTTTTAAGGTTTAACTCCTGAGTTTGGCGTCACTTTAAGATGTTTGGTTGGAACTCATGGAGGGGCTGTGGGATGCCAAGATTCATCCTCTATTAGGACTTGTTCACACCAAGGGCGTTCCAGGAGCAGAGCAGTTACAGTCCGGATCAAAACTGCGTCCAATGTATTCCAATGGTATTTTGGGCTCTAGTTCACACCGCAGAGTTCAGTTCCAGAGCATGTAAAAAAAACTGCAGCAAGCCCCATTTTACCTGCTCTGGAACGCATGCAAGCGCATCAAGTACACATGCAAACACTCTGGAACGCACTGAAAGCACATTCTAAAACTAAAAAAAAAGTTTTTACCAAAAATGGCCCGGAACGCATCAAAAACACGGCATAAAACACAGTATAACACACTGTGTGTGCAGAGACCCATGCAGATCTTGTTTGTATTCGGTGTAAACAAGCCCTTACTGAACACCACAGTGCACAGTTATCTATGTTGGTGACGCTTTCTTTACAGTTCCTTCTTTGTCACATTATCACAACATTTTTATTACATTAAACCGTGAGATCCACATGTAGCAATAAATATTGACACACTGTCAGTTATCACATTTTTGACATAGCATCACATAGTAAGTATCAAAACAAGCCAACAAAAATATTCTTAACACATTTTTTCAGCTCAGGTGAAATAAGGGCGCAATGCATCTTATGTATTCAATCACAGCACCAAAATCCTTGACTGAGCCCATCATTGCTGCAATATCACAATGAGTGAAAGATAGCAGGAAATGCTCAGATCTGGAGACATGGAACACGATTGGGGGAATATTCTCTCAGCACTGCAGGCCAGAATCTCATGGGACCCTAAACATTCAAAGAGCCGCCACCAAATACACAGTGCTTTTAGGTACGAGGGAACATGTGACCACCACCTATGATGCAATGCTTGGCCTGAGCACCCAATTGGCAACCTCGAAGAACTGTCAAAATACAGGAGTGGTCACCATCCGCCATGGAACTTAATTAGGACTGTGGAGGAATGGAGTGGCAGTGGAGCATGGAAAAGGAATGTGCAAGTGGTCGTTCACACTACCTACATTGCAGAAATGAGTATACCATACGCGCATTAGGAGGGCCATTTTTTAAATGGCTCCCCAACACACATCCATAGTGCGCCCATGTAGCACTGCACCACAACGTATGTGTGTTCCAATGGCCTACAGGGCCTAAATTGTTTCCTCAGGTGGGCCCCAACACGTGGAAACACGTGAACCATGGAGCATGTGCATTGTGGTCAGGTGTAAATGGCCCCTAAGTGGGGAAGGGGTGGGGGCGGTAAGACAATCCGTTTGTCCATAACAGGCAAAATGACAGTCCCTTATCCCACCTGTTACAATGTGATGGTACAATCTCATTTAGATCCATCAACAACTATGTAGTGCAACAGCCTGGCTGATTGGATAGTCCAGGTAGGTGGTCATAGTATGAAGTTTTGTTAAATCTGAAAGACTCTGAATTGTAATATGTAAGGTGAGCCATAGCCATGCTCATCTCCCATGGATAACTTTATTTTGCCGTGCGCTGCACACAGAGGAGCAGAGATATAAATATGTATTGAAGGCAGAAGAAAACCACTGATGGAGGGAAGGCTATGATGGACACTGAAGGAAGGTGAATGCAGCAACTTCCGCCTTTTCACCTCCCTGTGTGTATAAAGAAGTGCAATCCTTACACTGCCTTCAATATAACCCTACACACACAAAAAAACAACACAAATTGTTGACCTCTCCTTCAGGAAATTCGTGCTGCTTGGCTGCCATGTTGATTTCTTGGCTTCAATACTTTTGAGTCTCTAATCTGGAACAAGTACGAAATCAAGAATTCTGATTCTTATTTGTTGCCTTCAGGTCTCAGAATTGACTCAGAAATATATAGGCCGCAGGTAGGTAACCTCATACTCCAACGGTTGTGGAACTACAAGTCATGAGGCATTGCAAGACTGACAGTTACAGTCATGACTCCCAGAGGCAGAAGCATGATAGCATTTGTATTTACATCACAGCTAGAGGGTCGAGGTTGCCTACTCCAATATAGACTATATGCAGCCAGTCAATTATCTTTTTCCAAAGCCCAGAAATGGCAGCCTCCATATTTCTTTAAAGCCACATGTACTTTAAAGTGACTGTCGTTATGATTTTTTTTTTTTTTCTAAAATAAGGGCCCCTGCGCAAAAAAAAAACTCTTTGGATCATTAGCTGAAGATGAATGCCATCTTGTGGCAAATGAGAAGTACTGCAGGGGACAGGCCCAAGTAGGGTTAGGACTCACCCTCTAGTCAGTGCCTCCAAGCAGATTTTCTTTACAGTGGCAGATACCATTCTAGGCAGTGCAGGCATTGTTCAACAAGAATATGACAAGATAAAATAGTTCCTTTTCAGAAGGGCCAGCTCGGCGTTTAAATTGCATTTGCCAGCTTGCACGTTCTTTTGATCCTGGAATAAGGTCCGATCTCTTCATCAAAGATGAAATCCCAGATCACGCGGGCCCAGGACTGGTGCTGGGGAAGGCTGTCGTAATATTCCGAGGCAATCTGCCGTACCTGGGAGAGAATAATCAAGTCTGTTTTAATAGGCCGCCAAACAGCCAAATACAGAAAATGCACAGAGGGGTTTGTAAACAAATGTATGCACTGTAGTCACCTCCAAGCCCCCAACTAGCCTATATAAGATGCACAGTATAAGAAGGGTAACACATTTTTTTAGAGAATACAGTTCTGCAGACTGCATGCCACAAAGTCTTTGCAGACTCGAGAGTATAGAATGGGCAATAAATTAAAACTCAACTGAAGTCACGGAAATAAAAAGATATTCAGTCATATAGAGTGACATTGGACTAACCTTTAATCTTACAGCACGGACTTCTACCTCCTGTTTCCGGTTACAAGGTGCAGGGCTTCTAAATATGACTGTGCACCCAGGCACCGGATTGAGACCATCTTAAGATAGAGGTCCTCAAGTGCCACCCCTTTACATTAAAAGGGGCTGCCCATAGTATGCATAGGAATTTAATGATACAGAGAGCAACCAGAGACTGCATACATGCAACCAGAGATGGTCAGAGACTATGGACATGCTACAAGAGATGGTCAGAGAGTGCTAGAGGATCACAGCTATTACAGACCTTGTACAAATCAAGAAGTACACATTTGTGATCCCTACAGCCCTCCTAAAAATGCACGTTTGATATTCCTCTCAGCAAGATAGACAGCATAGAAAAAGTAAGTGAAAGAAATGAACCAAAGCATTTAACAACTATAGGCCAGTCATAACATTTTTTTTTTACCTTTACTGGCTTGAGCACCATAACACAGACTGCTGTTTGCAGGAGCCTGGGAGCTGCACAATAAGCGTCAAAGGGCCACACTTGACCCTCAGGTCAAAGGTTGGGCACTAGCACTCTAGAAAGAAGAGATGAGCACCTACCATTGGCAGTTTGCTACCCGGAATGCTGGGGAAGTCGTGATGCTCCATGTGGTAGCCTACATTAAAAGTAATCAAATTCAGACATCCATAGTAGGAATAGGTCTCATGTCCTTTCATAAACATATAATGTTCAGCGATAAAATGTCCAGATATCGGATGGAATCCCAAACAGAACACCGAACCGGCCACCAAGTAGACAAGGGGCTTCAGGCCGAACGCGCGATACAACAGAAGATCCGCAGAAAACTGCAATAGGGCGTTACAGATTTCCATCCTGGTCATAGGCTTGGGATTCACGTATAGGGGTCGTAAGACGTAAAAGAGAGGTTGCAGGATGAGCCATACCACTTTGCGGAAGGGGGTGCAAAAGAACCATCCTTCAAAGTCTGTAGGGATGTCCACATCCAGGTTGTCTCCTCCCAAATAGCGGTGGTGGTCGATGTGGTATTTCTTAAAGGAGGCAGAGTACGGAACGCCAATCGGCAGGTTGGCGATCATGGCGAACCACCTGTTCCTTTTCGCCTGGAGGTTACCGAAGGCCACGTTGTGAGATATGTCGTGTATGGCCAGAGTCAACGAGTGGTTTATGCAGCCGCCGAAGGCATAGGCCCAGAACAGTACCCATTTCCATGCCAAGTCTCTCACCAGACAGCAGGCCAAAAGCTGGACAAACACCATTGCCAAGATGATCCATTTGAGGTGGTGGTCAGGTCCCATTAAAGATTTGATCTCTGGATACTTGGCTGTGAAAAGGAGAAGGAAACAATATTAAGTGTTTAATCAAGAGCCCAACCAATGCGCACAAAAGCCCATTACTTAGAAACTTCTCAACCAAGCTCATCTGTAGCGTCTCCATGGCGATAACTGCATATAAGAAGCCAGGGGCTGACCCAGCTACCAAGGTTCTACCTATAACCAATTATATATATATATATTATATATATTTATTTTTTTAAACTGTCACTTTAAGTAATCAAAACCTTAATTTCAGAGACTTCTATAACTAAATCCGGTCTCAGGGTTGACGGCTTTACAGTTTTTGTATACATGCTGCGATGGTTGGTTTCACGTCACCATGCGTCATAACGCCTGCCAGTTATCCCTAATTAAGACCATTGTGTAAAGGCCTCGTGTCTGTCTTAATGAATGGATGCAGCATGCCGGGAGGGGCTCACTGTTGCGCAGGGCTCATGAACAGGCACAGTAGAGCGGCATGCACACTGATTTAGAATCGATGAAATACAAAGTCACCTGGCTTGACATTTTGCTTTGTTACATTACACAACAGAATCCTTGAAAGGAAAAATACAGCAAACAGAAATCAATATGAGAAGTCACTATTCTGCAGTAGGACTGCGGGCTGGCCCAGAAAACTACATGTGTTGTAGCTCCCCCCAGCACAGGCAGAATATCATTCTCATTTGGTCTAGGGGGATCTAATACAGAGGAATACTTACCCTTACTTACTGCAGCATTCCAGCTGTTGCAAAACTACAAATTTCACTTTACCGGCACCTTGGAAGGGATCTGGGGGGCAGCCGGCTTTACAAAGGTAAACAGTGCCATGCTGCCGGTTGCCACCTGTTTTCACCCGGACAGTCCGATTTTGGAGTCTTGCGTCTGGGTGTCCAGCCAGCGGGCACCCGAACACAAGGCCCTGAGTTCCAACACCGTCACTTTAAATTTTCTGACAGATTCAGCTACCGAGGTCCTCGGCAAGCTCGATCTTGGGCAGCCGCATCGAGCTGAAACCGGATCTTTCTCTGAGCTGCGGGCAGCCTGTGCCTGTTTACAGCTCAGAGGAAGAACCGGGTTTCAGGCAGATGCGGACGCCCGATATCGTGCTTGCTGGGGATCTCGGCTGCCGCATCTGTGATTGCTCCTCCTTCTCCGGCTTCTTGACACCGTGCTACCCGCCTGCGCACCCTTGGTGAGACACCATAGGCGAGAGAGCCCACCTGAGAGTCCGTGCAGGCCACCTGAGAGTCGCACAGGCCACCTGAGAGCCCGTGTAGGCCACCTGAGAGTCACACAGCCCACCTAAGAGCCCGTGCAGGCCACCTGGAGACGTCGGGGCCCCAACCCAGAACAACACAGTATGTAGCTTCATATTATTGTGTATTGCTATATCATGTATTGCTGGGATCTGTAGTCCTCTATAGCTGGTCTCCTTACTCCCTCTCCTGGCTCTCTCCTCCACGGCGCTAGAGTGTTCGGGTTTCACTTGAAGAAAAGGTGGCAACCCTAGCTGCCAATGACGTATTCTATGCATAGGTGGACGGAAAGGGGTTAAAGTATATTGTACAATCTAATTTGAATGTGTATGGTCAGCTTTACACAAATATCTCAGCTTCTGGACACGAGTATTTCTATGGACATGATTGTGCATGTTATTTTAAGAAGTGCTCGTTCACATCAGCATGCTAAAACTCATGCATGCCAGGGGACATAGTGTAAGGGTGCCCACACACCTTACGATAATCGTACGATAATCGCGGGAAATCCCGCGGTCGTACGATGATCGTAAGGTACTTAAAAAAACGTACGATCTGCCTATGTTGCATAGGCAGATCGTACGTTTTTTTAAGTACCTTACAACCATCGCAAGACCTTTGTCTTGCGATGATCGTAAGGTACTTAAAAAAACGTACGATCTGCCTATGTTGCATAGGCAGATCGTACGTTTTTTTAAGTACCTTACAACCATCGCAAGACCTTTGTCTTGCGATGATCGTAAGGTACTTAAAAAAACGTACGATCTGCCTATGTTGCATAGGCAGATCGTACGTTTTTTTAAGTACCTTACAATCATCGCAAGACAAAAGTCTTGCGATGGTTGTAAGGTGTGTGCCCAGCCTAAGGCTGGGGAGATACAGTAAACAATCAATTAGTACTCAATTCACAATCATTCACCCTGAAAATACGTTGTTACAATACACCGTTTGCTTTTTTACTCAGCGCAGCTGTGCGTTGCTCCGCCCACACAGCCGCATCACTCATTCACAGAACTTTCGACAGGATCTACGAATGGAGAAACTGCAAGTCCCATCAGCCACTGCGTCAGCAGGATTTGCAGTTCTCAATGGAGAACTGTAGTCCCCGCACTTGTAGTCCATTCATTCTTCCTGTTATCCATGTTACTGAATGTCTGTACCTTGGAATGGACAGGGATGGGAGGAAGAGTCTGCAGGAGCCAGAGCATTGCACCCGTCATCCACTGATCGCGGTTGCAATGCTTGACTGTCTCTAATGCAAACAAATAACAATGTCCCCGCACTTGTAGTCCGTTCATCCTTCCTGTTGTCCATGTTATGGATATGAACTGTCTGAACCTTGGAACGAACAGCGATGGGAGGAAGCGTCTGCAGGAGCCAGATTATTGCACCCGTCATCCACTGATCGCGGTTGCAATGCTTTACTGGCTTCAAGGCAAAAAAAAATAAACGTACATTTTTTCTTTTATGAAGTGCGTTTTTTAATTATGATAATTTTTTTTTTTAGAAGATGGAATTTCGCTTGAACTGCTTTAAAGCATCAGAAAATGACACCGCAATTAACTTCACGCACAGCGACGCAAAACTGCAGCATGTTTGTATTTTTACACAGCACCAGCCAGTGTCATTTTTGTGCACACCAGATGTATGTCGTGCCCTTGTCTTGGTCTATGCTGATCCACACAGCTCAACAGACATGTTGTGAATAAGCCCTTCAAAACGCAATGCTAACGCGTCGCAAATACACATGTGCAGCAACGACAGCAGCCACATTGTAGACTTCTGATGCCAGGTTGACAAATCATAATGATTATTATACAGGATTTATAAAGTGCCAACAGCTTGTGTAGCGTTGTACAATATAAAAGGAGACAGTGCAGCTATATAATACAACTCAAGACCAGATGGTTAGGAGGACCCTGCTCCCCAGAGCTTACAATCTAAAACACTGTTTCAAGTTACTGCACATTGCTCTGATGCTGATCAAGTCCAACATATAATAAAATGTACATTTAAAGGAGACATTAATGTGCGCTGTGGCCTCCAGTGCGGTACAGTTGGTAGATATGGAAATGTACCTAATATTTCTTGCCTGCGTCTGGCGTGCGGCTGGTCGGTGTACACCCATTCAAAGTCTCTTCGAGTCACTTTGTTGCCCATTGTGGCTCAGCGACTTCATCACCTGAGACGTTTCTTGATTGTCTGCAGCAGGACTAAGTGGAGAGAGCTCCAGCTCCGGGTCTTATATAACCTTGCCTGACCACATAGGTGGGGCCACATAATTCTCTTAACATTAGCTAGTAAATGAAAAACTGGCTTCCCATTCATTTGCCAACAGGAAACATCGCATATCACTTTTTCTTTTTTTAAAGGGATAGTCCACCTTTAAAAATCAAAAACACGCATGTTAAAAAAAAAAAAAAATGTGCATTTATTCATGTTTTGTAGTGCAGTGCATGGGCTCTGTGTGAATCAAGTTCACCCAAGCCTGCACAAAACTGTTAGAGACACACCTCCCCTCCAGGACAAATCAGTTGCAGTTGTTATATGTAGCTGCATGGCAGGGAATATCCCTGTCTGC